AAAAAAAAAAAAAAAAGGCCCTTATTTTTATTGTTATAAGTAAACTTTGCTACTCCATTCCTGTGTGGCTCCTAAGGGAAAACCCTCACCCTCTGTGGTCTCTATTCCTACAGTTGTGGGTAGAGGACTTGATGAACCTCCTTCCTGTGTCAACCAGCATGGGGGCATCAAACAGACAGACACATCTCCTCCTCCAGTTATATTTATTCCAGGTAGTCACTCATTCCTTTCTCCCCCAACCATGGGTCTTAAAAGGGCTGGCTGGAGTTGGAGTTCTGGGAAGAAAATCCCCAGAGCAAGAAGGATGGGAGCCAGAGTGATAATGGGGGGCGGTGTTGGTGCTCTGAGGCTCACTCAGTGTAGCACCCAACCTGAGGGGTGGAGGTGGAGAGAGCAGGCTAGTTGTTCCTCATGACCATCCGGATCCAGTCCACATATTTGCAAATGTTGGTGTAGACTCCTGGGATGCCTTTTTGCCCACAAGGCTCCACAGTTCCCCAGGACACTAGACCTTGAAGGACTCCTCCACACACCAGGGGTCCTCCAGAGTCACCCTGGAATACAGAAGGAGAAGGAGCACTGAATAAATAAGGAAGAAATCCTGTCCCCATTTTCTTTTTCCTGACTCCCAAATCCATTCCCAGGCCTTGAAGACAATGGGTCCGCGCTTGGTTATCAGAGAGAAGAGCGTTACTCCGTTCCTGAGGTCAAGAGCAATGACTGACCAATAGGGAAGAGTACCCTGTTCCTAAGGGGCCAATCCCAGGGAAGGCAGGACTCCATAACACGGTGATGGGGGGCGGGGGTGTCTCTCAAGGGGGATGGTTAGAGCTCTGGCTAATGAGTGAAGAGAGTGTATTCAGTGACCAATCCCAGCGAAGGAGGTGGAAACCATAAGCGTTCTATAGAGGACAATTGGCACGGGCCCTGACCAATGAGGGAAAGAACACAACCACCAGTGACCAATCCCAGCAAAGGAAGGCGGGAGCTATACAAGGTCTCTCAGGGACAAAGGCTAGGGAGCCCTAGCCAGCAGAGGGTGGCATCCTCCAACCTGAAGGACCCAAGAGGGCAAGGTAGTGGAATTGGAGGGCAGCAGAGTCCACCAGGCTCCTTTCCCACCTCCATCCTAGATTCTCTCACTCTCTGACCTGGGCCAGCACCAACTGGAGGATGGTATGGGGAGAGACAACCAGTTACACTCCTGAGTTCTAAATCCCTGCCAGCTCTTGGCCTTCCCCACCTTTCTTTGTCTCTTCCTGTCCCTCTCCTTATGCTCTTCCCATGTCTCCTTCTCTGTTCCCTCCTTTCCTCCATCCTCCATCACCTAGCTCTTGCTGCTGTATCCTGCGCCTCCCCTTCTTTCTGACCACGCCTCTCTCTCCCGTCTCCCTGCTCTGTCTCCTACTTCCTGTCCCGGGGTGACCGTGCATAGCCTGCATTCACTCACCTGGCAGGCATCTGCCCCATCAGCGCCGCTGGCACACACCATGTTGTCCGTGATTTTCCCGGGGAACAGAGCCTGGCAGGCAGCACTGGAAACGATGGAGACATTGAGGCATTGGAGCAGGTCCGGGAATGGTTCTGGGGGTGGAAGATAGAAGCTGCATTGTTCCCCAAAGCTTCCCATTTGGGGGCCACATCCTTCCACCAAAGGAAGCCAAATATAAGTCTATACTCTGCCCTCTTCCTGCGACTCTCCACAACAATCCTCAAACTTCTAGATTTCAGATTTATGACTTCATTTCATAGTGACCCTTGCCCCAGTTCATTGACACAAGTCCTCCTCTCCTTTAACCTATGACTCTGAGTGCCATAACTCAAGACACCTTTTGTCCCTCCAACCCCAGAAACAGTGAATCCGGACTTTTCTCCTTAAATTCCCCATGCGGTGCCCTTTGACCTTCAATCTTATTATACTTAGATCCCAACTTGACCTCATGTTCCCTCTCTGTCTCCAGACCCCACATTTCTTGTCTTCTCTTAAACGTCCAAACTCAGCTCTAAACCACTGCTCCAAAGTGACTTCTGATCCTAGTTTATTTGACCCCAGACTCCATGACCCCTAACCTCTAGGGCTTTCAATCCCAGACCAGCAATCCCTGATTGAATCTCAGTTTCTAGCCTCAGACTGTGGCCAGCTTGTGCAACATCTGGATCCCATGTCCTCAACTCTACAATGACTTCTAACACCAGAGTCTCTGACCCATGACCCAAGGTCCTATTTACCCGTGCCTTTTGCTCCAGTCTGATGATCCCTGCCATCACTCTGGCCTCTAATCACATCCCTGACCTATGGCTTCTGACTCCATACCCAACCCGTTGACCACTTTGACTCCCAAGACCCCTGGTCCACCATGATCTCTGACCCCAAACCACAATCCCCATGTTTGACCCTTGATCCATCCTTCTGTTGGCATGACTCCTGATCTCTCGTCCTCCACCCCAGACTTTGCCCGTTCTGAGCCCTGACCCTGAGGCTCCCTTACTCCCTGGCTGATTGGTGATGCCCCAGCCTGAGATGTGGCACTTGGTGCCAGCCGCTGCACAGGTGGTGGGCAGGGGCAGGAGCTGGACGCTGCGGGTCAAGCGGACGGGTGTGCCCAGTCGCAGGAGCCGGAGGTCATTGTCATGGCTGTGCCCGGCTCTCTGGTAGCCGGGGTGGGTCACGGAGAAGCTGCTGCGTCGGATCTGCTCCGTCCAGTCCAGACGGCTAAGACTGTGCTCCCCCAGGCGCACCCAGTACCTGCTGGGGGGGGGGGGTCAAGGTGGCTCAGCGGGGGGCAGTGGACCCCTGGCTCCCAGACCCTCCAGCCTTTCTCTGCTGCTTTGCACCTCAGTGTCAGTCCTCCCTCCCTCCCACGCTTGTTCTGTCTCTCTGTCTCTCGTCTCTATCACTCTCTTTCCATTTCCTGCATTTGCCTACTTCTCCTCCCTGAGTCCCTGCATCTCTGTCCCTTTCTGAGTCTCTTAGCCAGGGCAAGCACATCCATCCTTCATTGCTTGCTGCTCTGTTCCCACCACCTAGAGGCTGCCTGCGCTGTTAGCACTGTCAGCGGAAGGACGCGTGAGTAATGAGTGGAGTCTCTCTGTTCTGTCCCTAATCAATCTGCCTCTTCGTGTTTGGAAGTTCCCTTTTGAAAAAACCTCAGAGCTTCAGACCTAGAAAGTCCAATCTCCTCATTTCACAGATGGGACTGCTGAGACCCAGAGAAGATGCCCAGACTGGGTCAGGGAATAGCTGGGGTGGTGACAGATGTCATGTGGGAAAGAAGGGGAACACGAGGAAATGGGAGCGGGTAGATGAGCAGGTTCCAGGACCCCTCATGCCACCCACACTACCCGCCCCACCCAGCCCCACCCCAGACCCATTGTTGCAGAAGTCCTACTCTTTGTCTAACCTCAGAACCTTTTGTTGCAAGACCATTTCCTTACTCCTTGGCACCCCCATCTCCTACCCTGAGGGTTCTCCTCCCCATCACCTTTCCGCTGCCCACCCCTGGAAGAGACCACACCCAGACAGGGGCTTACCTGCCACTGCAGTGAGCAGCTGTGAGGACCCATCTGCGGCCAGTGAGGACCCCCCCACAACGCAGACTGGTGCCCTCAAACAGCCCTACTTGCCAAGGCTGTGAGTGACGGGCACACTCCTTGCCTTTAATAATCTTCTCTGTGGCCGGTTGGCTGAGCCCTGAGGACAGGGGTGTGGGCCAGAGAGATGGGGTCAGAGATCTAGAGATTGGGGCTCAGAGACAGGAAGAGAGATGCAGAGATGAAGACACAGACAGGTAAGAGAGAGAGAGAGAGAGAGAGAGAGAGACCGTGAGAGAGAGTCAGAGACAGGGAGACAGAGATCCAGGGACAAATACAAAAAGACCCAGCGATGCCCAGAGACACAGAGAGGAAGAGAAAGAGAAAAAGACAGAGAGATGCCTAAAGATAGGAGGGAGACAGGGGCGCCTGGGTGGCTCAGTCGCTGAAGCATCCGACTCTTGGTTTTCGGCTCAGGTCATGATCTCACAGTTTCGTGAGCTGGAGCCCTGCATCGGGCTCTGTGCACAGAGCCTGCTTGGGATTCTCTGTCCCCCTCTCTGTCTACTCCTCTCCCACTTGTACTGTCTCTGTCTCTAAATCAATCAATCAATCTTAAAAAAAAAAGATAGGAGTGAGACAGAGACAGACAAGCACAGAGACAGAGAGAAAAGACAGAGGCATAGTGACAGGAAGACACAGAGAAGGTATAGATCAAAAGATAGAGGTGGCAGGGCCCCCAAGAGCTGGAGGTGAGTGGAGACATAGAGGCAGTCCCCTCCCCTCCTCAGTGCCAGACTGGGGATCAGACCTGGAGGGGGAGATCGGAGGGCTCCCTGTCAGGGAGGAAGGGCTTCCCGCCCCGCTGGGGAACTCACCAGAAACACACAGGAGCAACAGGATGCTGGAGCCCAGGGTGAGCCACCTCCAGGTCCTGGGAAACGTTGGGGGAATCTCAGAGATGGCCCTTTCCCTGTCAACCTGCCCCTCTCTTTGCCCACCCCGCCTCTTTGCCCAGCTCCAGGAGGACAGGATGCCTGCCCATCCCCCCCTCTGCCCATCTCAGGTGGGGAGGGGGGGTCACCTCATTGGTGACCACCTGCCCCCTCCTCACCTTGTCCCCCTGCTTGCTGGGGCCTCCATGTAGCTGTCACAGTTCCAGCCTGTCTGCCTCTGCTATCTGTCTGTCCACCACCTGCCTGTCCTGTCATCCACTGGCCACCCCGCCAGTCAACTCTCCCACTGTCCACCTGGCTTCTCAGCCACCTGTCATGCTGCCCCACCTGTCCCCCTCCTTCTGTCTGTCTGCCCCAGACAGGCAGCTGACACAGCTTTTAACTCTCTTTGTTCCAGCCCATGCAATTTCCGGGTTGAGGGAAGGGGACCAGGAAGACTTGGGGTGGGGCACCCTCTCTAATCCCGCAGAAAATCTTCTCAGCTAATGGCACCTAATTGAGCTTTACAACTAAATGGGGAAAGGGGGGTTGGGCCCAGAATGGCTCTAGGGGGAAAGACCCGGCCCCACTCCTTTACCCCTTCTCTCCGAGCCAGTGCCCAGACCCATGACTGAATGTGACCTGGGAATTGGGTTCTAATCCTCATTCCTAGTGAGGAAGGCTCAGGGAGGGTGGGGCCCTCCCC